TGGAAGTAGACAATGAAAGGGTTGATGACGAGGAAGAAGGAGATGAGGTGCAAAATGCCAAGGACATAGAAATGCTTGAGCGATTACATTTAGATGATGACGATGAAGGCAACATTGAACCTCCGAGACGATCTTGTTTATTTGGACAATTTTGATAGTGATGACGAGACATATGATCTAGATAATCCCAATAATGATGATTACTTCTAATACATGTAATACTATGTTATTTTGTAATCGTGTTTTGTTTATTTACTTAGCATCTATTTCTAATACATGTAATGATGTCTTGTTTGTTTCTTTTTAATTGCGGTGATTGAACAAAGATGGCGGGCGGCGATGGGCCAAGGAACGTGAACTCGAGGTACCGAGGGCATGTCGGGACGTAGATGCCGGAGAGAACGCATCGGACGGGAGGAGGCGAGAGGGCAGGGAGCAGCCCGGCGGGAGGCGGCGGCGGAGGCCCAGCCTCCTCTAGTCGAGCCGTGTGACGTCTTGGGAGGCCGTACCACGGACTCCTCGGAGGACGAGCGAGTTCAGCGGCGGACGAGGTTGAGGCGACAGACAGCGAGGAGAGAGCACAGGAGGAGGCGGCGAGGCGGGCGAAGTAGTTCCACCGCCTCTGCTGCGGCTAGCCCCTACTTGCGAGGTCCCTCAAAACTCTCTGGGCCTCCGCTTCCCCCTTGCCAGGTGATCCGCCCCGAGGGGACAGTAACTAACTTTAGATTTAATCACAGACTACTTCATATAACTTTGTTGAAAATTGTCGGAGAAACTAATAATGTTTGTTAATGACTTGTCGAGCCTTTGGGAGGTTGTGTCGCTTTGGTGACTCACGCAACCCCAACCACATCTTGGGGCTTGTGTGCGAGCACTATTACCCCGGCATTGTCACACACAAGGGGGACTGTGGGGCCGGCCAAATCGTGGGACCACTACAAATCTGCCCCGATCACGAGAATATGAAGACAAGCGAGGCGGGTCGGGAGAGAGTTACAGGTAAGTCTCGTTCGCACAACTTTGATCAATACATTGCATTCATTTGACACTTTTGACATAATGAATTGATACATTGTGTCTGTCTGCAGACTTTTTTCAGTGTGAAGAGGGACGGGAGGAGAGGGCGGAGAAGAACTTGGTGAAAAGTCCCAGAAGCGCATCAGCGACATGCACTACGAGGAGCGCCTCACTTGCATCATCAAGTACTATGCCACGCGACTTGGTGGGAAAAGTCAACAAGACACGAGCAAAATGACAGATGTCTCGACCGGGGAGCAGTACATTGAGGTAAATGAAGAAGAATAATACTTGATTCGTTTTGAGATTAAGTAGCTTTCATTTGGTCGTCTTACATCTCAAATTCTTTATGACATGTAGATGATTCCATGGTGGTGCGAGTCCTTTGCCGATTCTTTGGGAGATGATCGTGGACGGGTGGTTCACGAGAGGTTATATCCGAGAACACGAAGCCCACCGGGAGCGGGCTTTGCGGCGACAGGCCCCACACACCACCAAGGCAGCCCGCAGCCTTGGGCGCATACAAGCAAGCTTGGGTGCGTGAATTCATTTTAGTATTCTCGGCGCTCCATTCGCATGTTTCTTCTAATCATCTTGTTGTCTTTCTCGCGATCGGCGTCGCATGGTGGCCAGCCTTTGTCCACGTTCATGGCATATGGGTAGCCCGCAAGGAAAGCGACTTCATTGTCACCTTCAGCCGGATGACCACACCGAGTCATCTGACAACCCGGCGTCCACACCGCGATCAGCTCCTACGCTGCGTCGGACGCAAGGTCGATCCGAGGCGGGCGGGATCCGAGCACCGGCGACATTGATGGCACGATTGTCATGAGGATCGGACGGGGCAAGAAGCATGGGCGATGCTTGGCTTGGCGATGGCACCCTCGAGTCCGGCTCTGTTCCTCCCTCTCCCGGATCCGAGCAAGTACCCCGCGCGGAGGCCCGCCATACGCATGTGGCCGTCCCCTTCACAAAGGCCGGGTCGGCGCACTCCGAGTTAGTCGGTTTAACTCTTCATACATTGATCTTTACATAACTTAGTTACCTTTACATTACTAAAACATTCGATTGAAATGTTGCGGGCCGATAACGAGAGGATGGCTCAGAGCTGCGGGACTGGCGGCGAGGACCGAGGTGGCCGGCGGGAAAAGACAAGCCGGCGGGAGAGACAGAATGGCAATGGCGGAGATTACGATGTTCTGCAGAACTTTGGGCAAGTGAGCGGTGTACTGTGCGATGTTAAGCTCCAGCCGCCGCCCATTGATTGTAGCTAGTCCGGTGAGTATGAATCCATATTGCTTTGACTAGTGCTTTCATTAGATGACCCACTCTAAGCGCTGAATCTCTTGTCCTTTATGCAGCCTCCGTCGGCGGGTTCAATGACCCATCTCGGTATAGCGAGTGGTGCCGAGTTTCCTTCACCGAGCACTCGGTTTCCTCCCCACCTTTAGTTTGTATCTCTTTTTCACCGCTTGATGGACATGTGATGCCTTTGTGATCCACTATCGACTTGTTACGATGGTAATTCGACCTATTATGTTTGTGATGTCGTGTATGTGAGGTATTGTATTAGCGATGTGATATATATGTGTGGGATTTAGTTTGTGATGAGATGGATGTGATATATATGTGCTATATTGTCTTTGTGATGCTTCGATGTGATACATATCTTTTATATCTGTGTTTTGTGATTATAGAATAAAAACAAAATAAAAAATTAATTTTGAGGCTTTAGGGTGCCACAGCCACAGCACTTTCGGCAAAAGCCGGAATTCTGAAAATTCCCAGCTTTGCCGAAAGTGCCAGTGCCAGAATCACCCACCCAGTTTTTTCAAAAAAATCTTTGCTTAAGTGCCCCATGACCCGACACCCGGCAAAGAAATTCTGAAAAAAAAAATAAAAAACTCTTTGCCGAAAGTGCCCCTCGGTGAGACACCCGCAAAGAAATTATAAAAAAATAAAAACATCTTTGCCGGGTGCCTCCCGGACACGGCACCCGCAAAGAAAATTTGAAAAAAAAATTAAAAAATCTTTGCCGGGTGCCTCGATATGGCACCCGGCAAAGCAAGAGATGACGGAGCCGGCGCCGTAACGACCACTTTTCTTTGCCGGGTGTCGGGTTTGCACTCGGCAAAGTCTTTGCCGGGTGCCCGATAAAAAGCACCCGGCAAAGAAATCTTTGTCGACTAACTTTTTGCCGGAGGCTCTTTGCCGAGTGCTGCACCCGGCAAAGGTTTTGCCGAGTGCAAAGTAGCCTTTGCCGGGTGCATTCGGCACCCGGCAAAGCGCCTGAATCCAGTATATGCAGATCGCATATCTATACCAATAAATATATAATTGCAATAGCATGCAACCAATTAATTGTGTACCTAAATCTCCCTAAATTTGATGAAACACTTGATTGATAGATGCAGATTAAAGACACTGATTAAAACACGCCTTCAATGTCTGGCCGGCAGACTCGGGGATGTGATGGCCGTCACACGTAGGACGTACTTATTCCGTTCCCGTACTTGTCACAACCGGTCCATAGGCGTCACATGAGATACTCCACCAGGCCTGCTCACTTGTTTCTGATTGCCATAGACTTTGATAACCGTTGCAATTGTAGAACTAGGACGCCGCATAGTATGTTTACATCCCGTTGCTCCACTACTACGCGGCATCCCAATTTGACAACTGCTGCAGCTATCAAAGTCTATGGCAACCAAAAGCAACTGAGCAGGCGTGGGGGAGTACCTCATGCGACGCTTACGGACCAGTGTGTGATAAGTACAGATACGGAGCAAGTACATACTACGTGTGACGACCATCACATCCCTGAGTCTGTGGGCCTAAGGTTGACGGTGTGTTTTAGCCAGTGTCTTTAGTCGGCATCTATCATGTGTTTCATCAATTTTAGAGAGGTTTAGGTACACAATTAATCGACTGCATGCTTTAATTAGGGTTTAAATTCAACATAATAGATTGTTGCTATTATATATTTTTTGGTATAGATATGTGATCCACATCTGCGGCTTTTTATTTTTCTAATTTATTGGCCATTTAAATGAGAAGGGTTATTTACTGAATTTAAAATTTAATCTTGAGGGTGTAGTAATTTGTAATTTACTATCTTGAACCGAGCTAGGGCCATGTTTAGATTGCAAAAAATTGCAACCTGATGAATAGTAGCGTTTTCGTCTTATTTGGTAAATATTGTCCAATTGTGGACCAACTAAGCTCAAAAGATTCATCTCGTGATTTCCAACTAAACTGTGCAATTAGTTATTTTTTTTACCTACATTTAATGCTCCATGCAAGCGGCTAAAAATTGATGTGATGGAGAGAGAGTGAAAAAACTTGGAATTTTGATGTAAACTAAACAAGGCCTAGGAAGCCGAGCTGTGTGCGTGCCCGTCCAGGATTATTTGGGAGCAAAGACTTCAGATGAGCAAGAGATCATTAATTCGGTGCATGATTGGAGTAGACTGGAAGCAGATATTTCTGAGTGCAACGGGGGCATTGCGTTCCTAGCGGCCAGGCTGTGGGTACCACTCGTTCGATCATTGGATGGAGCGATCTTGTAGGAGGAAGGTCGCGCATGGCATTGTGTTCTCTGTGGCTGAGAGCCGCTCTTTACTTTGTATAAATTGTGATCAATATAGTCTGGAAAAGCTTCGCTGCTGCGACACCAAAGCTTCTGTTGTGTTCGTGTGTGTTCCACTGATCAGGTGCACTTGTGTTCACCGTTTCCGATCATCTTAATCCTTTCCGGTGACGGATTCCGGCAAGAGGGAGTCGTCAATTGGTATCGGAGCCAGGTTCTGCTGGTGGATACGAGGTCATGCGATCGTTGAGGCATTCATGGAGCGCCGAAACCAATCATCATCGCCTTAACACAAAGGTCGCGGCGGCGGCAGCACACAAGTGGAGGTGGCATCGGCGAGTGCGGCCTGGTCATACACTGGGTTGCGAGGGAGGGCGGCACCGGGCAGTACCCGATGATGTCCAAAACTAACTACTACTCATGGGCGGCGCTCATGATGCTGCAGTTGCATGCGAGGAGCCTATGGCCGGCGGTGAACGTCAAGACGACCGACTTTGCCGACGATCGGAACGCCTTGGAAGCCATCGCGCTGGGCATTTCCCCGGAGCTGCAAGGCAGCATTGCTAGGAAGCCCACCGCCAAGGCCGCGTGGGACTCGCTAAAGAAGACTCATCTCGGCGTTGATCGCATGAGCCAAGCGAGGGCGAATATGATACATCGGGAGTCCAACACGCTGCAGTTCAAGAACGCGGAGTTGATGGATGACTTTGGCGCTCGCATCACAGACCTCGCCAATCAGCTTCAGGTCCTCAACGTCGGCTACATGGAGCCAGAAATCGTGCGTTAGTTTCTTCATGCCAGGCCACTAAGGTACTCAGATCGTCATGGTGATCAAAACCCTCCTTGATCTTGATAACATGCCAGTGGAGGAGCTGATCGGGAGGCTCAAGGCGATAGAGGAGCGCCATGACCTTGGTGGTGGTGCTGGCTCATCCACGGCGCATCTCAACCTCATGGAGGAGGAGCTAGTGGCATCACGGTTGGTGTCCCGGTTGCAGCTCTTTGGTGAGGGCACGCCTATGGGCGACCTCCATCCTCTAACCAGAGGGTCGAGCGCGGCGGTGGCTTATCCTAGGGCGGGGGGAGTAGTGGAGGCTCTAAGCCACCCGTCGGCAGCAACGACAAGAAGAAGGTGATCACCAATAACGAGTGCAAATACTGTGGCAAGGTGGGTGGGCCACTAGGCACGCGAGTGCCGCAAGAAGAAGCCAGATGAACAAGCCCACGTAGCCGAGACAGAAGCGGAGGGCGCGCTATTGATGGGGATCATGTCGATCTTCATTGAACCTGTTATAAAGTGAAATGTAAATGGAACAAATGAATTGAGACAACTGTCTTTCATTGATCGGTAAAGGGGATTATATACATCTGATGAAGGGGTGTCTCCAAAGGACAGGCTCCTTGGTGACGAGATTAACTGCTATACCTAATCATATGGTTAATTGCTAATCCTAATCCTAACTGTCCATACGGACGGGATGAGATCGCCATGAAAAGACGTCTGTCGAGAACAGACGTCGTTTCGTAACACTCCCCCTTGATCGAATCTTTCTTGAGATCAATGCAGCTATAAGCTGAGATTCCTTGAAAAACCCTGCGGGAAAAATCAGAGGAATATGTATGTATAGATATGCCATAAAAACTCCTTTAAAACCTTATTTGGAAAAATAAGGAGAAAATAACATATATGTGTGTGATTTAAATAAATCACTATGTCATTAGTATCCCATTAAGAACCCCAGTGGGTAAAAAATATTGGAGATACGACATAAAGATAACTCCCCCAAAAATCTTTCAAAAAAAATATAAGGAGTAATGTAGAATGATATGTCGCTAAAACTCCTGTAAAAACCTAGTGGGAAAATTAGAAGAAAATGTGATGACATATTATTGGTATTGCCTCTTGGATAACTCACATGAAAAACTTTTTTAGAGAAAAAACATGGATGAGTTGCGAGGGTAATATGTGTCTTTGATATTTCCCACAAAAATCCGGATGGGGAAAATAGAAAATATGACACCTGCTTATGTCAATATTACCACATTAAAAACTTTAACAAGAAACCTTACGAGTAAAACTTGTGAGAGAAAAGAGTATAATATGATGCTGGTACAGGTAGCATCTAGGAGATATCTGCCCCTGATTCTTGCAAATTTCGGAGTGGCCGCATACCAATTTCATGTACAAATTTTTAAACATAGATGTTGGTAAGGACTTAGTAAATAGGTCAGCGAGGTTATCACATGATTTCATTTACAAGATATTTATTTTTCCGCTTTCTTGTAATTCATGGGGATAAAACAGCTTAGGAGCAATATGCTTAGTGATATTGCTCTTTATATAACTTGTTTGCATCTGTGTAACACAAGCGGAATTATCTTCATAGATAATTGTAGGTGATTCAATTGAACCAATACCACATGATTGTTATATGTGGTTAATCATTTTGTGAAGCCATACACATTCGTGTGATGCCTCGTATAGTGCAATAATTTTAGAATGATTAGTAGAGGTTGCCGTCAGAGTCTGCTTAGAAGACTTCCATGAGATAGTTGTACCTCCATGTAGGAATACAAATCATGTTTAGGATTTGTCATTATGGGGATCAGATAAGTAACTAGCATCCGTGTATCCTATCATATTGGGATCATGATTTTTCTTAAAGAATAAACTAAGATTCTTTGTGCCATTAAGATATCTGAGGATATTCTTTGCTCCTGTCCAGTGACGTTAAGTTGGATCTGCACTATGTCTAGCTAGTAAGTTCACTGCAAATGCGATATCAGGCCTGGTGCAATTTGTAAGATACATAAGTTCTCCAATGATACTAAGATATGGAACCTCAGGTCCCAGTATCTTCTCTCCAATATCACATTGTCTAAATTGATCTATCTCCATTTCTAGAGAACGAACAACCATCGGTGTTTTGGAAGGATAAGATTTATCCATATTGAATTTCTCTAATATTTTCTAGATATAGGCTGATTGATGCACTAAAATTCCTGAGGGAAGGTGCTAAAGTTGTAAACCTAAGCAATATTTGGTCTATTCTTATCCAAATCCTTCGTCTCGAATTCTACCTTTAGGTGATTGTGTGCTTCTTCCATATCCTTTGGACTGCCAATGATATTTAAATCATCAACATATACGGATATGATACAAAATCCTGTTGAAGATTTCTTAATGAAAACACATGGGCAATCATCATTACTAGTGTATCCTTTCTTTAGAAGGAATTCACTCAATCGGTTGTACCACATTCGTCCCGGCTGCTTTAAGCCATATAATTACTTTTGAAGCTTTACACAATACATGTTACAATTTGCGTTTGGATTTGAAATTTGGATTCCATCGGGAACCTTCATGTATATGTCCGAATCAAGTGACCCATAAAGATATGCTGTCACTACATACATCAACTGCATAGATAGATGATTTTGAACTGCCAATGATATTAAGTATGGGAAAGTTATTCCACTCATTACCAGAGAATAGGTTTCATTGTAATCAATCCATGGTCTCTACATGAACCCTTATGCTACTAGCCTTGCTTTGTATCTCGCTTTGTATCTCACCACCTCATTGTTCTCATTCTATTTTTGGATGAAAACCCATTTAAAGCCTACAAGAAAGACTTTGGAACATGTATGTATTGCAGATGTGAATACCACTCTTTTAGTGAGCGAGGCTATCTCAGGTTGAATTTCTTCCTTCCACAGAGTCCAGTCCGAGCGCTTTTTGCACTCTGCCATGGTCTTGGGATCTGGATCATTTAGGAAGATTTCTACAATTGTTGCGGAGAAGTACATGCCAACAACAGTAGTCTTACGATTGTATGATTCTCCAGTGTCAATGTAATTGATGGAAATTTCTTTCACCCCATTAAGTGATTCGTCATTTCCCAAAACTATGGAGTCAGGGTGTTCCGATGTCCCAGGATCATAATTTGGGTGCATCATTGATCCGGGTTGTGGATTTGATCCGGGTTTTGGATTTTTATCCACTATAGGGTGTCTACCAACTTGAGGTTGGCTTGGATTTACTAATTTGGAGGATCTAGTCCTCGATATCCTCGGACGCTTGCTTTGAGCATTATCCTTAGGATCGGCCGTACTTCTCCCCCTCTTCTTTGGAAGTGGGAGTTGAATGGTTTCTATTGGTACCTCCACTCTTTTGGGCGCATTGCGAGCAGGATAAGAGGATTTAGTGACACCCTTATAATCAGTAAATGCTTCTGACAGGTCATTTGCAATGTGTTGCAAGTTTATAATTTTCTGAACTTGTTCCGTTTCTTGAGTATGTGGATCTGAGGAGGAAATGCCTTGCGCATTCTAGTTGATCTCCAGGCATTCACTTTGGTACTTGAAGTCTCCCCCTAATGCTGGGAAATGGTCCTCATTGAATATGCAATCAGCATACCAGACTGTGAATAGGTCCCCTGTAAGGGGCTCAAGGTATTTGATAATCGACGGAGATTGATACCCCATATAGATCCCAAGTTTCCTGTGTGGGCCCATAGCAGTACGCTTAGGTAGTGAGATCAGTAGGTATACAGCGCAACCAAATTTCCATAGATGGGAAATATTTGGCATATTCTCATATACTAATTGCAATGGAAAGACTGCATGATATGCAGTTGGTCGCAATTAAATTAAGTCAGCAGCGTGTAAGACTGCATGACCCCAACATGAAGTTGGTAGGTTGCAATTTTGTAACAAGGGTCTTGCAATGAGTTTAGTTCTCTTAATAAGAGATTTTGCTAAACTTGAATTCCTAAAGCCATACAATAATCATTGAAAGACTTTGAGGAAAATTCAGCAGCATTGTCTATTCAAATTGATTGAATTTGATGTTCAGGATTATGTGCTCTAAGTCTAATAACTTGAGCAATAATTTTTTCAAATGCATGGTTACGTGTGGACAAAAGACACACATGAGACCATCTAGTAGATGCATCTATTAGAACCATGAAATACCGAAATAGTCCAGACATTGGTTGGATGGGGCCACATATATCGTCTTGAATGCGTTCAAGAAATTTGAGTGGCTCATTTTAGATTTTAACGTGCGATGGACGTAAAATCAATTTCCCTACAATGTATGAAGTGCACATAAATCCGAAGATTTTGGAAATTTAGCAGTATTTAACTCGTGACCATTAGAAATGCTGATAATTTTTTTGCATCATCCCTGTACCAGGATGGCCAAGGCGTTCATGCCAAGTTTTGAATGTGTCAACATTTGGAAAAATTACCTTGTACGCAACATGTGGTACAAGTTTGATGTATGTGTAGTACAATCCAGAAGGAAAAGAGGGAATTTTCTCAACAATTTCTTTGCCATATCTGCTATCTTTAGTAACAAGGAGAATCTCCTCATTATTGTCATCATGGGTTTCAATATGAAAACCATTTTGACAGACATCTCTATTACTTAATAGGGTATGCTTTGAATCAGGATACAATAGTGCATCTTCAGTTGTAATTTGGGTACCCATAGGGAGTACGATAGTGGCACGACCATAACCAATTATCGTAGCATCGCGCCCAGCGATTGTCAAAACATTTCCTTGCCTATTAGTAAGAGTATGGAAATATTTTGTTTCCCTAAGAATAGAATTAGTGGTGCCACTGTTCGCTAGGCATAATTCCTCCTCCATCAGATTGACCCCGTAGAAAACTATATATAAATGAAGAATGTAATATGAAATTCTTTGAGGATATATATAATACATACTTTATTTATTGAATATCAAATGTGCATATAATACATTTATTGGATATCCAACCTAAACAGTGATGACATTATTTACAATTACAACACCTAGGACATAAAGTGTGCTTATTATTACAATTATTAGGACACTAAGACAATGGAATCTAAGAGATTGGGAGCCTATTCTAGGTCTACAAACATGTCATTGGAAGCATATTCCACGACCATATTCTCTGTGTTAGCAAGATCCTCACCTCCTGGTATGGTGTTGTTGCTTGATTCCTTGGGAACTTGTTGCAAACAATGAGCCTCTTCCCTAGTGGTGTCAGGTTGAAGATTGAAATGGGCTTCATACTTATGTCCTGGAGCAGCAGGTCCACGACCCACGGACTTTAAGTAGAGATCAATAAGGTGACTTGG